AAGTCTCAAAAATCTCATGAAATCTTCTGAACTTTGTTGAAATCTTTCGAAGCGTACTGATGCCTTTTGAAAATTTGAAGTCTTTATTGTTGAAGTCCGCTGTTTCCTGCTGAACGATAAGATACCAGAATTTTCGGGGAAAAATTACTACAAACAGAATAAATTTGTTCCGTTCATGGGGATAAAAATCTTTTGGAATAGTTCAGTTCCATTCAAAAGAGCTGTTATTAAACCGAAAACCATTTGTATAGATTTACTCTAACTAAAACACAAATTCAAGCATAGAGTTCGAATGCAAATAGCAAGAATGTGGTCACTAATCTATTTCGGATTTATGGCATCTCTAGGTTTGGTCATCTATTTCTTGTGAAAAGACCGATAATTAGTTACCATTTGTTTTCAAATGAGTTGAGCTATTCAAAACTTGACTTTTGTCCTCGCTCTAGGTTCCGGACTGTTTCATTCAAGCACAGTTGTGCAGTTTAGCTGTATTGCTCTAAGAAGAATAAAATCATATGTTCAGTGGTACCAACTCTCTGTTTTTTTTTCATAAGAATTTGATTTTCAAAGCAATTTTCTTTCTCAATCGAGAACTGTTACATGTCCACGTATGCATAGTTTATCTTATATTACAAAAATTCTCACTTGATCATCAGAATTAATCGTAATTGTTTAATTATCTTCAAATACGGATATGATTTAGGAATTGATTTCGGAAACCATAATTAGTCATAAGTGATACGTATTCTTTTATGTATCACTGATTCTATAATAATCTAAAGTGTAAAAAAAAAGGCAAATGTCACTAGATATTCGATTTTTGTTTGTTGTGTATGTATTAGAATTTTAGTTTGCTATAGTCTTTCAAGCTGGTGCAATCATTTATGCTTTAAATATATTTTCGTGATTACAGTTTATTAGAACAATCGACATAAATATTTTTCATACAATTCAAATGATTGAACTCCTTTTTTCTCGTAATATGGTATAATATGTTCTTTGAAGTTTTATTCAACATATTTTGCCATAAATACTTGTGACTATAAACATTAAAATAAGATCTGCTTTCTTTGTGGCTGAATCTCGATTGAGTATTGAATACAGAAAATACTAAAGAGTTAATCATCAGATCTATGAATGTTCATGATAACCTCATTCCAATTTATCGAGATTTTTTAATTCGATAAATTAACCAACGAATTGTTTTTGGTAACGTAAACATGATCTTTTATAAAATGGATATTAAATAGAATTTTCTTGAACAAATAGGTGTAAATGAAGGATTCATCAAGTTCATTCTGTTCTTGATTTGATAATTCACTATTTATATAACAACAAAGCACTTAACATTTGTAAGTTATCTACCTATAAATTCCAACCTATGTTACTTATAATACATACTCTCATTTCACCATTTTTGTTTGTTTTTTTTTCCGATCCTTAACTAATTGTTCATTCAGTCATCTTAATAGTATATCGGGAAATTCTTATAATAAAAGCGTGAACTTCAAGATCTCTTTTTGACACCATAATATTTCAGCTACGAACGATCAATCATGATAATATTCTTGATAAACATGTGCTTTCAATGCTGTTCCATTATCCTTATTTTTTTCTTTTAAGTTAACAAGAGAAGAAGAAAAAAAAGATTTTAGTTCGTGCTTGAATGTGAACAAGAATTAACAGTATAAAGGAGATAAACATTCGAAAAATGAAAAACTCTAAGACAGTTTCTTTGTTTTACTAAAGAGAGTATCAACCACTTTTGACATATTTTGAATAATAACAAGTGCATCTTGATATTGGGTATCCGTTGGTGTTTCATCAAAAATAACGATATTTGAAGAACCTTGATCAAGTATACCACTAAGTTTCTTGTCTAAAATCATTTGAGAAAGTTTCTTTTCGACGACATCCTAAAAAATATACAACAAGAATTTATTTTGTTTAAATATTGAAAAATAATACATACTTGAGGTAAATCAATTAAACGTGAAATATGTTCAATTTGAACATTAGAAAATGGTTCAAGCAAACGACTAAGATTTTGTTCAAGTAAATTATCATATAATGTACCCAAATGTGAATGAACTACTGGATCATCAGATAATTCTGTTTTATAATCTTTCAATGCCTAGATATGGATATATAAATTTTTAATAAAGTTTTTCATTGAAATTTTGAAAGCAAACCTGTTGAAAATCAGCTAATGATCGTTTTTTACTTGCTTGTGCAATTGCTTTCATTGCTTCAACATCTCGACCACTATATTTTAATGCTAATTTTACCGACATTAATGCATTAACATCATCAGGTCTATTGTTTATAAATAAAAACAAAAACCAAACGAATATATTTGTATATACGTTGTGTCGAAGTAGCAACATTCATGTTGATATTTGTCAAAGTTATTTTTAAAACGTTAATAAATAAATAATTTATTGACTAACTATTCTATTGTCATAGAAAAAAAGACTTTACTCTAATAAATGTATATATAGCAACAGAAAAAAAAGAATATAGAAGCATATTGTTTTGAATTTTCTTCATCTCTATTTCATTTATTTGATAGAATATTCGAAATAGATGAAATCTTTTTTTGAAACTTTAGATTCTAATTTGAATTAAAATAATCATGCTACAAATTTTCTTGACGAAATGTAATCATTTCTAATATCAAGTAATTATAAAGTGCATACTAATAATATCAGAATTGAACCTGTAAATTTAATTAAAGATTCAAACATATAAGATAACAGTGGCAAAAGTAGAATTTTTTTTTGATAAATGAAGTACTTGAAAGAGAATTGAAAATCAGAGCATGAGCTGTCTGAAATGCACATGAAGAGAAGGAAGGATCTGGAGTGAAGTTGAAGATGTTATCCTATTCTTCACTCTTATATCATTCAGATCTTCACTTACCATTATCCCGGAGTAACACCTCTTTCATGCTCTAATTGTTGGTCTTTCTTCAAGTTCTTCATTCATCAAAAACATGTTTCAATTTTGTCTAGTTCAAATGAGAATTTGAATTTTGTTTGAGATGATTATGAATGATATTCAACTTCCAATTTGACAAGATGAAATCAGAATTTAAACTTTGTTTGGTCGAATTTAGTATTGAATTTAATTCTAAGTTTCGCCACATATTTTATATCCAGAAAAACAATATCTCTTATTTGTTTCGAATATTAACTATATAACAAACTTTCTTTTCATCATTAATACTTTTGATATCTTCACCTATATCATCTTCTACTACATAATTCTTCAGCAAGAATTTATTTTTGATCATGCATGATGACAATAGAATTATTAATGAGTAAATTATTCACTGATTAGGAGGCGTTAAAAATAACTTTGACAAATATCAACATGAATGTTGCTACTTCGACACAACGTATATACAAATATATTCGTTTGGTTTTTGTTTTTATTNAATGTCGAAGTTACAAGCTCAATAGAATATAGATGAATAAATCAATAAAACCTACGTATTCATCATCACTTTTGATAATAACATATATTTAAGAGCAGTAATTCCTTTACTGTTATTGATTTGATCATAACCTTCGAATGCTTCATAAAAATATGAAAATGCTGTTTTAAAATCTTTATCTTCAGCTCCATGAAGAATGCCTTGAAAAAGAAAAGATGATTTTCAATTGAAAATCATATAAGAAAAAAAAAACTAAAAAGATTGTCAACCTGACTGTAAATCAAGACTAGCTTGAAGTTTTGGTGGCGTATAAATTCCATTTGCCGTTGTTCTTGCTGATGTTAATGCAGCTCTATACAAGCAAACTAATTCAATTCAATATTTAGTTTTAAATAAATCATCTAACCTTGCTTTTTGTATATTACTTAAAGCAAAATAAGTTTTACTTTCTAATAATTGAACTTCAACAAGTAATTGTTTATCATCAAGTTTTTTTAATTCTTTAAGTAATTGAGAACCAAGTATAAGTGCTTCATTATATGTTTTTGTATCATAATATAAAGCTACAAGACGTGCCTAAAGAAAAAGCAAAAAATCTGTTAGCGTAATTCGTGTGGGATTAAAATGTAAAACACAATGTAGCTACTGTTAATCACAGAGAAACTGTTTTATTCCCTCTATTTCGGTATACATTTCTTCACTACACTGTTACTTTGTTCTCCAGAAATGTAACAAAGAACTAGTTCATATATTATCAACAGACGCTATTGATATGCGGTCTTTGATCGTCTATCACGGTCTTATGGAGATTGAAATTTTCATCTCTATGCTTCGACATTCTTTCTAGATTGTCTTTCCCAAAGTTTACTTCAAGATCTTGTCGAAGAAATGTTCGATTTTCACTTTTTGCCCATTCGATATTTTCTTGACATAATGTAACCTGAATAAATCAAATAAAAAAGAAAAATCTCAAAAAGAAAAAAATTAAATCATTTTACTTCTTCACCAGTACCCGCTTCCATATCAAGAAAAAGATCGACTAGAGTTCGAACAAGTTTAGCTGCTTTAGCTTTGCTAACAAGACCAAGAAATGGACGAGTAGTTTTAATTAATGATGCCAAAGCTTTGAAAGAATTTTATATAAATTAATAAAATAAAAGTATATTTCTACTACCTTTAGCATCTTTTGTTTCCTTAAAAACTTTTCCAAGTGAAAGAATAGCTGATTCTTTAATTCGTATTGATTCTTCATCATCAATTTTTGCTTCTAATTTGACTATTAAACAAAACGAAAACAAAAATAATTCAATTCAGGTTAAATCTTAAAAGTCTTACCCAATTTTTCTAATAATTCTCTTGCAGTTTGATAATCTTTTCCTAATAATGCATTTTCAGCTTCATCTAAATCAATTTGTTCCGATGATTTCGGCTTTTCGTCCGTCATTAATTCCGGCATTGATTAAAAATTTATCTAAAATATATTCTACGAATGAAATACAAAAAAAAAGAAGAAAAAAAACAAGAAGTATTTAAAGAATAAGATACAGATATATCAAATAATTCATAACCAATCATATTGTCGAATGATTTCATTTATAATAAAACGATTTTCACTCAAACAATTCTCTGTAGAAAGATAAGATCGAAAACATGTTTGAAGTTCATCATAACGTGTACATGTTTCACGTATGATTGTATGTTTACGAAGAATTAATTCTAATAATGAAAGATATTCTGTTGTAGATTTATCAGTACATAAACGATCAGTTAATTCTCTACTTATTATTTCAATAATTAAACGTTGATCAGAATTAAATAAAAGTATATCACTTGTCGTATTTTGATCATCAAATAAATCAGCAAAAAATTTTATTACAGAATTTGTTGTTTTATGTTCAATTGGATCAACTTGAGAGAAGAAAAATAAAATGTGATTTTTAGAAAAAGATTTATTGCTTCTATTTTCTTACTATTTCGATTGAATAATAAAATTAATCGTTCAATTAAATGTCGACATGATATTTGTTCATCTATAGCTTTTAATGTAAGCATTATAGAATTTTTATTTGGATAATCAAAACGTAAATTAAATGATAATAAAAATTTTATTGATGATAAAACTAATTCATCATCATTATCATTATTTTCAATCAATTGAAATATACATTTTAAAAATATAGAATTCGATAATTGACCTAAATAGAACAATAGATTATAAAACTAAAAAAAAAAAGAAATTACTTACTGTTAGTATGCACTGGAAATGGTTCGTTTGTTAAAAGAAGATTTGTCAGAAGATTCAGAGCAGATATCACGGTTGATTTAGTATTGTCATCTAAAATATTATATCTTATGAATATATTCGATAAAATTTTTATTGATGTTTTTATTTTACATAGTATAAAAACTTGTTCAAGAAAGAATATGTCTTTGTAATTAATGAAGAATATCTGAAACATTTTATACTCGTAAATGTGTGATTACTCGAGTGCAACAGTCAAATCGAGTAACTAACTAATATTTTCACCTGAAATATAAACTATGAAAGCTAAGGAATCCTTCCGTCTCACACAATATATTTCTCATGGACGAGAAAAGATCTTCAGCTAGCTGGTGGCTCGTATTTAAGTCAGAGTATATATATACAGTTGCTCAAAAAAGTATTGGACCAAAAATTTTTTGAGTAGTAGAAAAATTTCTTTCAAAAAC